ATTATGTATGACAGCATGACTTTAACACTTTTTAAAGGGGTCATGAACTTTTTTTTTATTTTTTACTGTTCTCTGAGGTCCCCTTATAATGTGGATAAAATGTTTACATCAGAAAACATACTTTAGAAGTAATAGGCTATTTTCTGTCCTTTTTTTAACCCCCCTCATCAGAACGCTCTGTTTGAATAGGCGTGGCGGATTGTAGACTCGGAAGTAAATGCCCACTGCTATGATTGGCAAACAGTTGTGTATGTTTGACAGCCACAGTCAAAACAGTTACTCACAATTGTGTGTTGCGACATTACTGTCAGATCCCATATATACCTGAGAAGAGATGATGCCAACCCCCCAGAGGACCTCAGATGATGCCAACCCTCAAACAACATGCAAAACTACCAAATTTTGCTATAATTTTAATCGCAACATATAATCATTGCAGTTAATAGTGTTCACCATCTGTTTGATTGCATGCCCTTAACTAACTGCATGAATTTTACTGGTCATTTCTGCCATATGGACATCAACTTGACTAGCTGATAAGCTACTACTAAATATAATGACATTCACCAAATATAATGTAGAAACTTTAAAATAGAAACTTACAATTTCTGTAAAGCTGCTTTGCAACGATTTTTATCGTGAAAAGTGTTATACAAATAAACTTAAATTGAATTGAATTTAATATAGTCGACAGCATCATCTTTTAGTTTCAATCTTTCTGAAAGTCCTGCATCGAATTGTGCCTTGTTTGCAAACAAATCCAAAGTCAAATTAAGTGAACAAAGGACCAAGTTCTTACTGACGCGGTCTGGATCTTCATTTAAAATAAAGTTCTCCCTCTTTCCTAATGTTGGGATCAGAAGGAAGGTGATGCAAAGACTTGGCACTGTTCAGCATCTTGTTGTATTCGGAGCATCTTTATCTTTTGATTTCTGCATAGAGCTGCGTTTGCCTCTCTCGTTATTTACACTACGTGCGTGAATTGGTGGGCAAGGCTAAACAGGCAGTGATGTAGAAGCAGGCATTGATCTTCTTCCGTGGAGGCGGTGTTTAGCCACACTATTACATCATAGAGTGGCACATTCCACAAGCTGTCATTTTGGCAGACTGGCTTCAATATAAGCTATTTTTATTTTATTATTTAACAAGAAAGTTTTGAGTTCTGAAACTTACAGGATGTTTTTATATTACAGTGACATCTTATATGTCAAAAGATCAAGGGAATTTTGGTTTCTCAGTTCATGACCCCTTTAAACAAAAAACACTCCTGTAATCATCCTGACATCACAATCACATCCTGACATCACAAGACAAGCCACTTACCTTGACAACAAAATCAAGAACCATTTTGTAATTAAAACAATATTATAAATTTTCCCAACAGGAACCAAGATGGTTTCATCGATCGTGACGAGTTTGCTGATATCTTGCATGCAACTGGCGAGCCGGTGGCAGATGAAGACATAAATGAACTCATGGCAGATGCAGATACAAACAAAGATGGGAAGATTGATTTTGATGGTAAAGCAAATCTTATTTGTTCTATTTTCTGTGCTGCCCTCATGTGGAACATAACATTTTTTGTTTTGTTTTGTAAGGACGCAATGGAAGAATCATTTTGGGTTCCCCAAAGAACCTTTCAGTGAACGTTTTTTAAAAGAAGCATTTTTTCTTAGTGTGAAGAACATTTAAATAACCTGAGGAACCATATTCTACTACAAAGAACATTTTGTGGAATGGAAAGGTTGCGTAATTGTTCAAGTTTCTTTATGGAACCATCAGGGATGCCTAAAACCCCCTTAGCTGTTATAAATTCACTGTAAACCCCGGCTTTACGGGGCTTATTGCTTTTATAAAATGGTTATTCCATATACGTAGTGAGGTACAAAATAAAACAGAGCAAATAAAGTGTAATGATATGAATAAAAACAGTATTCTTCCACCAAACAATGTAGTTCCTTAGAATCAGTTGTGGTTGCAACAAAGTGGTTGATGAGCAACACACAAACATAAACAAAGTTTACAACAGCTTCGAACGTGGCTCAGCCAATCAGAATCAAGGACCGTAACTATCCGTTTTATAATAAGGCATATACATATATGAATACACATGTGACCCTGGACCACAAAACCAGTCTTGAGTCGCTGGGGTATATTTGTAGCAATAGCCAAAAATACATTGTATGGGTCAAAATTATTGATTTTTCTTTAATGCCAAAAATCATTAGGACATGAAGTAAAGATCATGTTCCATGAAGACAAATTTCCTACTGTAAATATATAAAAACTTAATTTTTGATTAGTAATATGCATTGCTAAGGACTTCATTTGGACACCTTTAAAGGCGATTTTCTCAGTATTTTGATTTTTTGCACCCTCAGATTCCAGATTTTCAAATAGTTGTATCTCGACCAAATATTGTCCTATCCTAACAAACCACACATCAATGGAAAGCTTATACAGTATATTCCGCTTTCAGATGATGTATAAATCTCAATTTCGAAAAAATGTACCCTTATGCAGTCATTTGTGGTCCAGGGTCTCATATGCTTATGGATACAATATACTCTGATGCCTTCTTTAGGGAGCTCTAAATAAAACACTTGCATATTAAATATAATTTCATGAAATGTATATTGTATATAATGTATATTCAGATTCAATATTATGCTCTTGGAATACAATATGAGGACATGACTTGACTCTTATTATCTATTTAAAAACATCTGTATTACTGAAGTGTGATATGAGAGATCTTGTCATCATTAGGTAAATAACTTTAATTTTTAATAGTTTATAAAAGCAGATATAATTACACACATATATAAATATATGTAATTACACATGTACTCTTCCTGAACTCCAGTTGTCAGTGCGTTCTTTTGAATCCCAAGATGTGAGAGAAGACAAGCATTTTCGTTCAGAAATATAATCGCCATCGTATAATCACAATATTTGAATACAAAGTATGTTCAGAGAGGAGAGAGTATTAACAATGCCATGAAAGGGGCTTTTATGTTACTTCATATTTGATTTTTTACTTTCATTCCAGAGTTTCTTAAAATGATGGAGAATGTCCAGTAAGAAAAATTTACATCCCATCTCCTCCAACCCCTAATGACAGCAGTCAAAATTCCCAAGAACAACCCCCTGAGATGTTTAAAGGAAAAGAGGACAGAGGAAACACAACATCACCCGGGTTCAAATAACACACTAACAATAAAGATGGGCTGGAATTCACTTTGAGGGACAGAGATTATAGATCAGTGCCGTCTTGTTGGAAGTGTTTCTTGTGGGACCGCACTGTGATGGTATCTATAAATAACCCTTCAAACCTTTTAAGAGGAAACCACTTGCGCCTCTCCCCTCAGCTGTCTCCTACTACACCTGCTTATTCCCAAGACATTCAGCAACCTTCCTTCAACTCCCTTCCCCTTCCCCTCACCCTTTACAGTGATTCAAAATAGCCCTGCTACAACATTAGCCTCGGAAAAAGACTTAATGTTGTCATGGCGATAAGGAATCTCTCAGCTCACATGTTAGCAGCGTCTGCAAATCTATTAAAAAGGCACATCTTGGCCAATCTGCTTGTTTATTTGGTGATTTTTTTTTTTTACTGTGATTGTATTATCTAAAATTATACAGAATCTCTGTGTCTGTAAAAACTTACAGCTCTAACATTTTTTAAAGCTAAATGCAATTTCAGGCCTAAAAAGGTTGTTATGAGGCCAAATATCACATTTCTAGAAGCTGCAATTCATGACACTCATGTGATCTTCTCACCCACCTTGCCCATAATTTCACTACACCCAATCAGAAAAACAAGATCCCACCATGTTGGTTTCCAGAACCCCATGTCCATAACACTTTGGCCGTCCAGTAGATCCATAGTGTTGCAGATTGTATTTATCTTTTCGTCTGTTGGTCTCTTCTGATATTTTTCATACTTAACCTGCCTACAGGACAGAGTCTTGACATAGCCAAAAAAGGTCATGAAAAAGATCAATTTTGAATCCTAATGTCAACGTTTTGTGCCAGGAGCATGCAAGTTATACATGTATGAGTTCTGAAATGTGCAAAAGGTCAGATTTCCATGTTTTCGTCTCATGGTAGAAAGCCATGTGATCCTTTTGACACCTCGTTGTCTTCAGGTCATATTGATGGAGGTGTTATCTCATGCCAGTGCCATAAATGCAATTCCGGCCCTTTCTGCTCTCCTCAAAATCTCCTTTTAAATCTCTCCATTTCTGCCTGAAAGTATATAGTCCACAACCCCCTCCTCTGAGTTCCCCCACATCCTTCTCCAATCCACGTCTGTACAATTCCTCGCTCAGGAAACACATGCCAAACATGGGAACTCGGGTTTAGGCTCTTCGGGGTTTGGGGTACCTGTGCTGCCATTTGTGTTGTTGGGTTTTGGTTGGGGTGGAGTAGAGTAGAGATCTAAACCATTTGCTATTCAGGGCACGCTGAAGAATTGCAACACAGCACCTTCTCAAGAGGTTTAGGGTTTCTTGGCTTGACTAAAGGGGGGGGGGGGGGGGGTGCAGAACACTATCGGCTCTCTCCATTTTAAAAATGAATTTTCATCTGTACTCTACTTATTTTAAATCATTATAAGCCATTTTAGTACTTCTCAGATTTATTAGAATTTTTTAAGGGGAGTTAGTGAAAAGTCTCAGGATGAAAGTCTGCCAGGATTTCATGCCTAAACATTAGTGTGGTCAACATTAACATGCAATTTCCACAATGAAGTTTTACCAGACACACTAAATAATTATTTTATTGTGTCTTTGAACAGGTTTTCTAATAAATACAGGCTTTTTGACAATAAACACACCAGAATAAGGCAATTACCATTTTCCTGTATTCTCGCAGACTGTTCTTAAAGTGTACTCATTTCACATTTCTATTGGTTTATGGGAGCCGTCGAACCCTAAAAGTTCAGGATTCTAAATCTGGAGGCCTGTGGGCGGGTCTTGGGTGGCCTGTTTAAAGTGTGTCAGAACTGTCACTTGACGTCTAGTCTTTCTGTTGGGGTGCGAGTGTGTTGACCACTGCTTGTCTCGTGGATATAAGTGAGGAGGCTAATCCACAACCATGGTAAGAGTTTAAATAATCTAAGCAGTCAGTTTTGCTAATGAACGCATGAAAACATAAAATGTGCAAATGGCCTAGTCAAAAAGTCAGAATTACATTTCTGTCATTATTAATAACAGATTACATAAGGTTAAAGTATTGTTAATAGTTCCCTTGCAGTTCTGCATGCATTTAATAATGCTTTATAATAAAAGTAATAAATAAAATTCAACCTTAGGATGACTAAAAAAATCATTCTAGTATATTTAAATCTGTTTATTGTGTCTCTTTTACTTATTTTTTTTATTATCAGACAATTGCTCTATTTTGGACTCATTTTTCTCTGGGCAATAATGTCTGATATAATCTGATTAGAGTAACTTTATTAGGTGTTTTTTTTAAGGTAACGTCATTATAGATTCAAAGTTAACTGACTGCTAATTCATCTGTGATACAAGACCAAGATTTCTCTCTGACAAAAAAATACCATTACACTCAATATGATAAATTCATCACATCCACTGTAAAGTTGCTCATTGCCATTTTTCTGATGTAATAATGTTTTAACACGGATACAAAAATAGCTTGAAGGAGTTAAATTATTCCAAGATCAAATAGTCAAAGATCACCCTGAAATATCATCCATATATCTGTTGATGGTAAGATGGACATCCTGCTATATGATATGAATCTGGTCAGCAGGTTAGGTTAAGTAGGTTAACTAAAAGCTGAGGAGACACATTCCAAGGATCCTATTTCGGAATTACCATGTACAGTCACACTGACTGCAAGGATAAGGTGTTGAGCCTTAAAATAGTCGCAAATTGTCTTGGAGCAGTGTTCTGGGTGTGCCATCTGTTGTTTGCAAGGCCCACAACCCTGTCTTAATGGAAACAGATTATTAGGAAAACAAAAACAAGTGACTCTCCTGAAGAACCAGGGTTTTCCGTTTATCAAATTAAAGCATTGCACTGTTTATATCTGAAATTAACCGTTCATAATGCAACCGTTTCACAGACTGACGCGCAACAGGAGGCCCGCTCATACCTGAGCGAGGAGATGCTTGCCGGTGAGTGTAGCCTACTGTGTAACTGATAAACGGGTATAGGCTTATCACCGATGTCTACGTCGTTCTGTTCCATTAAACATTATGCGTCTATTTCAAAGAGTTCAAGGCTGCCTTCGACATGTTCGACACCGACGGTGGCGGTGATATCAGCACTAAGGAGTTGGGTACCGTCATGAAGATGCTGGGTCAGAATCCATCCAGAGAGGAGTTGGAAGAAATCATCGAGGAGGTCGATGAAGACGGTAAGCAAAATGCCACAGCTGGAAAAAAGTGGATACATAGAACTATATAACGCTGTAGACCGAAAAAATACTCCACGCAAGCTCATTTCCTGCGTTTTGTATGCAGAAGTACGAGCTGCATTGTCAGCGCTGCCGCAAGGGGCGCTACAGAGGAAAATATCAGTTATTTCCTTCGGGACAAATACTGCCATTGCAGAGCAAGAGTTTAAAAAGTATCTTGCTAAGACAAAAAAATTAAAGAGCAACTTACCTGAATGTTAAAACACCCCATTTTAAAGTCAAAAGCATATGAATGAATATCTGTATCGCCCTTTCAGGCCTATGGAAGAATGCACGTCAAATATGTATGTCTGTGTTTTCACACTTGCGTGAAGTATGTTTCTGGCCTACATGATGATGTCTGTATATTTTTATTATTCATATGAATGATAATGTCTGTTCAACTTTATGCATAAAATACAAAAATGTAGATTGTAATAGCTAATGTAGCTACTTCATACTGGAAACTGTAGGCAGCGGATCCATCGACTTTGAGGAGTTCTTGGTCATGATGGTGAGACTCCTAAAGGAGGACCAGGCTGGCAAGAGTGAGGAAGAGTTGGCCGAATGCTTCCGTGTGCTGGACAAGTATGTCATCTGATATCTTCTTGTGTGCACCTGTTTTTGAATGTGACCCAGACTCACTTTAGCATATGCAACACTATGAATCTGCAGGAACGGTGATGGCTACATCGACAGAGATGAGTTTGCTGAGATCATCCGCAGCACTGGCGAACCCATCTCAGATGACGAGATTGATGAGCTGCTTAAAGATGGAGACAAAAACAACGATGGCATGCTGGACTTTGATGGTATGATGGTTTATAAATTACATTTCCTTTTATGTACGAGTGTGCATGAATTCAGACCAGGTACTGAAGCAACACCTGTGTCCATTTTTCCCCAGAATTCCTCAAGATGATGGAGAATGTGCAGTAAAACAGAAACTCAAGGGCATTCCTTTCCCCTCTCACCCCTGCCAACAGGAACCTTTACCTCTCAGTTCCACTCAAATTCACTTCCCCCTTTTGTCCTCTTTCTGCCTCCATCTCACCTCTTCAGCAGACAGACAGATAAACACCTCTGTGGGGTTTGCCAAGGTTGGGCTCCCACTGAACCCTCATGCAAGATCCAAGGAGCCAAGCTATGATGGCACTCAAGTTCGCTAGACGCACATGCATGGTAGACCCCACGTTTGTGGGTGCTAAAGTCTAGATTTAGTCTAGATCAGCAGCTTGTTACCGCTGCATAGACCAATGCCAAAGCCAAACCACTTCACTGTATTTAAGAACGAACGCTTGAAAACAGAATAAAAAATAAAACACACATTGTTTAGTTGGTCTGACATTTTGATTTGTATGGTTTTATTTTTTATGGTTTTATCAATTAAACTTTTTTTTCTCCCAAGTCTCTGACCCCAATTAGTTGACCATTTCTGTATATACTAAAGACTATAATTAGTACTGTTTATGTAGCAGCAAAACCCAAACCACAAACTCTTACAAATATCAGTGATATTTCACTAATGCCAATTTGGCATTCAGTTTTATTAAACATGCCGTAGGAATAGCTCTTCTTCTCTATTGCACATTTAGATTTTTAACATGACATTCTTTGTGTGCTGCAAGTGTGTAAATCAGTAAACTGTGTCTTGTTTATCTGGTCAATGGCTGATGAGTATTATTTGCAAAGTAAAGGGTTGCACACTAATATTGCAAATATAACTGATGACAAAGTAAATATTCCTCCTTTTTGTGAGAATGACATACACTGGGGGGAAAACACCAAATGTTAAAAGAATACCGAATGAGTATTATAATAATAATCTGGCTTATTATTAACATGTCTTAATGTGATTTGCATGTCTAAGCTATAAACAGAATGCCTAATGTCACTGAAAATAATTTATGATGGTTTATAAATTACATTTCCTTTTATGTACGAGTGTGCATGAATTCAGACCAGGTACTGAAGCAACACCTGTGTCCATTTTTCCCCAGAATTCCTCAAGATGATGGAGAATGTGCAGTAAAACAGAGACTCAAGGACATTCCTTTCCCCTCTCACCCCTGCCAACAGGAACCTTTACCTCTCAGTTCCACTCAAATTCACTTCCCCCTTTTGTCCTCTTTCTGCCTCCATCTCACCTCTTCAGCAGACAGACAGATAAACACCTCTGTGGGGTTTGCCAAGGTTGGGCTCCCACTGAACCCTCATGCAAGATCCAAGGAGCCAAGCTGTGGTGTGGTTCACAGGCTCATCATGTTATGATGGCACTCAAGTTCGCTAGACGCACATGCATGGTAGACCCCACGTTTGTGGGTGCTAAAGTCTAGATTTAGTCTAGATCAGCAGCTTGTTACCGCTGCATAGACCAATGCCAAAGCCAAACCACTTCACTGTATTTAAGAACGAACGCTTGAAAACAGAATAAAAAATAAAACACACATTGTTTAGTTGGTCTGACATTTTGATTTGTATGGTTTTATTTTTTATGGTTTTATCAATTAAACTTTTTTTTCTCCCAAGTCTCTGACCCCAATTAGTTGACCATTTCTGTATATACTAAAGACTATAATTAGTACTGTTTATGTAGCAGCAAAACCCAAACCACAAACTCTTACAAATATCACAGTGATATTTCACTAATGCCAATATGGCATTCAGTTTTATTAGACATGCCGTAGGAATAGCTCTTCTTCTCTATTGCACATTTAGATTTTTAACATGACATTCTTTGTGTGCTGCAAGTGTGTAAATCAGTAAACTGTGTCTCGTTTATCTGGTCAATGGCTGATGAGTATTATTTGCAAAGTAAAGGGTTGCACACTAATAATGCAAATATAACTGATGACAAAGTAAATAACATATTCCTCCTTTTTGTGAGAATGACATACACTGGGGGGAAAACACCAAATGTTAAAAGAATACCGAATGAGTATTATAATAATAATCTGGTTTATTATTATCATGTCTTAATGTGATTTGCATGTCTAAGCTATAAACAGAATGCCTAATGTCACTGAAAATTATTTTTTTATTTAGTCATTTAGCAGACGCTTTTATCCAAAGCGACTTACAAACGAGGACAATAAAATTAAATAGTTTAAACGCATACGGAGTTTTCGTGTAATTTCGTGTGTCCATCAGTTAAATGTTCACTTCACAAACTATCAGCTCACTCATCGGTTCTCGGACCATGTCGGTGGTAATTATATTATTACAAGACAACTTTATTCTGAATTCAGCCGATGAGTTCTTGACTGGAGAACCGCTCAAGATCGAATCAGTCCGATTCGTGAACGATTTGTTTTTCAGCTGGGTGAAAACATGCCTGTTCTTCGTTTTGAAAAGAACACGTATTTTTGTCCATTTGTGTTGTATAATTTTAAGATTAATTTTTTTTTATCTGTCTCAGGACTTCCACTTTCCTCTGTTCATGACGCTGGTCCATCTCGTAATAATTTTCAGTTTCTCCACACTGACACGCTTTGCCATGCAATGCTGGACGGGAAAGCCTCGAGTGACACTTCCCTGGAAGGTTTACCTTTCTAAAGTGGCCCCGACAGGTAAGATTTTTTTTGTTTGTTTTGGGAAAACATTCTTCAGTGAGTCCAAAGACCAAAAATGTGTTTGAATGTTTTCCATAATGGTAGCTGAGGAGATAAGACCTGTTATCTTTTCTATCCAGCACACAGTTTGGGTGGGTGAAGTCCACACTGATTGAATGTAGCGAATCTAGTTGATCTCTGCTCGAGTATTCTGGAATCTTGTCCACAAGCCCATTATTCAAGTTTAAGCATAGAATGATTTATGATGTACAGTATATGCTTAGACAGTGATTCATCATACAGTAATATGTGTACAACTGTTTGTCTGTGTCCATCAGCCCTGGCAACAACGCTGGATATCGGATTGTCCAACTGGAGCTTCCTTTTCATCACAATTAGTTTGTAAGCATGCTATTACCTGAGAGATTGGATTTTATAGTGTTTGCAAGGCAGACTTTTATTCTTAATTCTCAAACATAAAAAATCCCTTAACATTAAGTTCTAGTACAGACGTACATGCTGTGCTCGAAATGCCATTGTGTCATACTACTCTTACTATTTCTGCAGTATCCAGAATGTACACTGTGCATAGTATGCAAATGTTCTGTATGCATGGAATACCCGGATGACCTACTATCTGGCAAATGCCAGAATCTGCTAAATATAACTCAAGTACACTGAAATCAGTACAAGTACAAGCAGTGTTCAGAATGGCATACTACCATAAAACTCCTACTTTATTGCAGTATGCAGTGTGTATAATGTGAATAGTATGTGAATTTTCTGTATGCATGGAATTCCCGGATTACCTGCTACATTTGTTTAAATTTGATGTATTCATCTGAAGACAAGTGCATGGGATACTGTTTTCCAGAACGCAACTCGCTCCATGTAACGTTTCATCTTCAAATTGTGAGTGAACTGGAGACGGGGGATAGTAATTATAAATGTAACACTTTTATATGTATATACATATTACTGTAAACTACAAACTATTGCTCTGTATCTAGAAACAATATCGTTAGAAGGCCATAAATTGTAGCTTAATTTCTACAGCACATTTCCGATCAAATCAAATGACGTCACCGGTATCGCTATAGCACTTTGTACTGATTGTTTCAAAGATATTAAATAACAATAATATTGTAGTAATATAATATATAAATAAACAAAACTTATCATTATTTGCACTGTGTAACTAGAATATATTGCTTTTTCCACTAAGTGTAACTGCCAAAAAGAAAATATTGTTCAGTTAAAGACAGCTTAGTGTTGATCCAGTTCTGTTCAACATGTTAAGTTAATTAATTATGAGATGTGTTCAATTGGGCAATATATCATTGTTTACTAGTATGCATAATTATTAACAAGCCTTTGTAAAAAGAATGGTTCACACATTTATTTGTAAGGTAACTACCTCGACAGCTGTGCTGAATTAATAAGGATAATTTATTGTCATGTGACAACACGGTAGCATAATACTCTGAAACATTTTGTTGCTTATTGTATACTGTTTCACACACTATTCTTAAAAAATAGTAGGCAGTATATACTGTGTACTGGGCAGTAAGCAGTTAGCAAGTATGCCATTTTGAACACAGCCACAGACTTCATTCAAACATTTCATATATATTGATAGTCTTACATGTAGATGTGCTGTCTATTTTTAAATGCATATTTAATTAAATGCATACTTAATTGATTGAATCAGTCATGGGATTATGCAGTGACTGTTAAAATGATAAAAATATATGAATGTATTAGTGTTGTTCCTGGCAACCAGTTTGCTACACTTGTGTCGTTGGACTATTTTGCTTACATAATTTGATGAATCACAATTTTTTTTCTCATGTATCATCTTTGTAAATGCTTACTGGGCAGCTCGTTGCTAGGAGATGAATGTTATATGAAAACAATATGTGTTCTAAAATCATTTATTATTTTCTGGATGAAATCAAAGCCTGAAGCTTAAAAATCTTTCATCCCTTCATTCTCTACATTATTTTCTGTGAAATCTGTCAACACCGATTACCCAAAATCTGCAGACTGGCTCTGACTTTTAGCAATTAATTTCAACTCCTCCAGACTACAAATTGGGGCAAAATCAATGCAGTAGTCATGTAGTGTATTCCAGTCTTAAAACCTGAACACTTGACCTACAAACACTGGTGTTTGCTTTAGGAAAAGCAAGTTAAATTAAAACTACTTGGGAATTTGGGAAAAAAAAAAAAATTTTCTTGAAAAAAATGAAACACCAGTACAGATGAATTGTTCACTATACGACCTGCATTTAGGAAATAGATAGGGTGAATTTTAATTTCATGCTGACTTTATTGTCAAAGTCATTATTTTTTAACAGTAAATATTTCTGTAAAATTTAACATGTCAAACTGTTTTTTGTAACTTCTGTAATGTGAAAAACTATTTCTATTTTTGTAATGGGTAAAATATCATTCTACACAATTGTTTTTTTTAATTTTATTTTATTAGTTTTTTTTAGCTTTTTTTCTATTTAAATTTTTTTTATGTAAATTAGTTTAGATTGTTTTTAATTATTATTATTTCATAGCACATTTTATGAGAGACTTTAACATATAGCCAATATTGGACCTCTGCTGGCATTATCGATTGTGTTAAAGTACAGCTTCAATACTAGATTGGATAAAAATGGATACTCATAAATAAACAGCGGGCCCTTAAGAAAAATAAAATGTGCAAAGCTGGTTTTTAAATCAATAATTGTTTTGACCAGGTATTGTTCTTAGGGTGTGTGTTTCTGTCTTTTTATAGGAAATGGACCCATGGTAAGACAACTACCAGTCAGAGACAACCCGGACCTTGAGCTTCCACTTCTACAGACAAAAGAAGACTATTGTGAAGACACAAATGATGAAGAGGAGCAAGAGATCCTTTATTAGTTCCAGGATGACATGAATATCCTAAATAGACTTGTGGAATGTTTTCCCTTAAAGGCTTACATGAATGGTCACATTGATCACAGGTACTCAACCAGCCCCAGACATGATATGAATGATCTATGCTCTTGGGAAGACAGGACTCTAAAAGAAACTGGGTAGGTTAGTTCATGCGAACATTTCACTTCAGTCATCATTTCCTCACCCCCATGCTGCTCCAAACCTGTATGACTTTTTTTCTTTTTTTGTGGAACACAAAAGGAATGTCTTCCATAAAATTAAAATGGATGGAGACCAAGGGCTGTCAAAAAAGATAAAATGATCATTTATTTACTCTGAAGAAAAAGTCATATGGGTTTTGCAAGACAAATGGGTGAGTAAGTTTGACAGAATTTTAATTTATAGGTGAAATATAACTTCAAAACTGCTGGTGGCATTGATCTCAGCACAGGACCAATCTCCAAGTGGCCTTAAACATTTGTTTACATGGCAATAAAAGATTTATTTGACTAAATATCAATTCTGTTTCACTTGCCCACAATAATTGCTTCATTAATTATAATATAGAATGTAAGTGAACTACTTGTTTGTTTGTTTTTTAATAAAATTAATGAGCTTAGTTTTCTTCTACCATGTATTCCTTCCCTTTTCCTTTTACAGCGCAACTTTGTGAATGGTGTGTAGTCTATTTACTAACTGTCTAGGCTTAATATACTTCATTTTCATCATTCAACTATCAGCTCTTAGAGAGGGAGGCAGACTTCATTATAGCCCAATTAGATTTGTGTGGAGTTTTCGTGCAGATGCAGGGAAGTCTAAATTTAGGACCCTGATTGAGGTTATTGAGTTTGTTTAGTGGAATAATTTCGAAGTTGGAAGGCCAGTTCAGTTTTCCAGAAGACGGTAATGAATTCACTTTAGGCTGACAGTATGCGTCTGTTTGCCGATGAGTCTCGTCTGACATTTAATAAAAAGTTTAAAACAAACGTTTATTTAAAAAAAAAAAAGTATTTTGGAACGCTTTAATCTAAATATTTGATACAATGTTTCCTTTGCTCATATGCGAATTGACGCAAACGTTCCATGCAGGTTTTCTGTCTATTTTTAAGTCGCTTTTCTGCTTGTTACCTCAAACTATATCTTCAGACATATAACTTGTTTTTACCCCGACATGGCTCATTAAATCTGGCTGCTAAATTTATGCTAACTAAAGCAATCAGCCACGTTGTAGTTTATTCGGACATTTCTGGTAAAGTTTGTTTATTTATATAAAAGAAGCAGGTGAGTTTTTTGTGTAGGCCCTGTGTCTCAAAAACATACTGAACATTATATGCAGCAGTTTCTCTTCTCTCGAGCCTTGCAGAACAGCTGATATACCACCCTGACTGTCTTTCCCCCGCCTCTATATTACTAGAGGAGGGCACTGCACCCGTATCAGATTTCACACCTAACCCAGCCAAAGTAGAGACATAAACGGCAGCAAATGGGAAGTGAGTGACCGGGACTCAATGTGTTAACATCCCTTACCTGTGTGGAATGCGCCAGATACACGCTTCAGCTTCAGGTAAACTTACTAGCCTAATAGACCTTTATTTGAGTTATATATATTATGTAAGTGTGCGTTTCTCATTGCTGCAGAAACGGAAGCTGTTGCTGTTTTGAATTATATATTTTAATTCGCTTTGACTCGCTGTAATTGTTCCTAGTCGTTTACGTTTGTGACTGAGTTGAGCAATATCTACATAAGTAGTAGTATATAAGTTTGAGTTAGTGAGTAAGACAGTAAAGTCTAACCGCCTAGTAATACGCAGTTCATCTAATTTTTGCGTGCTGCTTCAGTTTTGGGTTTTCATAATGCGCTTGTGTAGCGGTAATAACTTTCGACAGCTCACTATAGGTGTGGTATCACAACAGATTCAACTCCTGATATCATCTATTTCTGCTGTATTCCGTACAACAAGCCAATGCATGAAAAGGCCGTCTTATTATGGCCCAAAGCGAAAGGAGGGAGGGTGTCCAATTAAAATGGGTGTCAAATAATTGCACTTCTCACACATAATATTTACCAACGCACTGCTGAGAAGATTTTTCTGTTCTCTCCATTAATTTTTGATGTGCACATGTGGGATTGTAATGGGTCAGTTACTAAACTACATTCTGATTTTGCAGACATGTCTGGTTATACATGTATAACAGGTGTTCAGCTTTCCCTCCCTCGTCTTGTAATAGTCTTCAATGGGCCTGTAATGACCAGTTTGGTGCAGCCTTTTCTTTAAGTGTTCCATCTCTCTCTTCTGTCTTTCTCACTCCCCCCTCATTGATTAGGAGAGTATATTTAAAGCTGTGTGACATTAAAAGGTTTGGGATGCTCTTGTTGTGTCGCTTCATCAGAAAACAACAGTTAAACAACTTTATGGTTGCCAACAACCATAAAGATATACATTTTTATCACGATCACTTCTGCTTTGGTGTTTGTTTGGAGTGAACGAAAGTTACACTAATTTTTGCCTTGCTTACGGTGATCATTTTCCCACAGGTCTTTAATTGATACCTGCACGTTTATGATGGCCCACAGCTTTCCTTACATCCTCTCCGAGCGAACGAGACTCATCCTGGTGACGGTTCTCCTGATGCTGGTTTCTGAAGTCCATTCCCAAGGTTATATATTGCCTTTTACCTTTCACTCAAGCCACTCATTTACTAGATATGCACCATATTTTGGATGATGTTGAGAATTTTTTTTATGTTACGACGGATATTCGAAATATTGCCAGCATTAAATTTCGGTTTGTGCACAGTTAAATACTGGCAGAGAAGGATAAACTAAGTCAAATCTACTCTAGTCATTTTTGTAAACCCCTAACTGTATGTTTGTTTCTGTATTTTTGCGCATATGTTTCTGCATCCTTGAATATGGTCAGACTTTGAGAGCCGTGGATAATTGCTGGTGCTTCCATAATTAGATGTCCTTTTTTCTAACCAAAATGCAATGCCGGTGCACTTCAAAATTAAATAAATGGTCAAATAGCATTCATGCTCGCAAACAAAAATAGCAATCCACATATAGCTCCCTTCTGGTGCAGAACTACGTTCCCTTTCATGTTTATTTAAAGGTGAAGTGTACAGCTTTGTAGTATTAAAATGTTCCTAATAATAATCCAGTTTGCAGAAAAACAAATATAAGTATCCATGTTCGTTTATATATTACTGGTAGTTTCCTAGTGGCACAGAAATGATACTTTTAAGCATTAAACCAGTTAATTAAATTATATCATCATAACTGAGTTTTTTTAATGTAAATGCTGTACTATAGTACTTATATATGGTACCAATACTATATCACATTTGCCTTCGAGAACTGTTTCTAGATAAGACTTCAGGAAATGCATTTACAGATCCTTTATTCTGTCAATGATAGCATCTGAAAAACTGTGAGAAAACAAACAGCTTCTGTTTTATTTGTGAAATGTCATCTGCATTCCTAACAGTCCTTCTAATGGGACCAAATTTACAACCCACTTGCTAGAAAAGTGTGTTGTAATTTCACAACAATGAAAACCTATAACAGTGAAGAAACGCTAACATTTTAAACTCCTTTTTTAGCCAAATGATACAGATTTTTTCCCCCCACCTCAATCTGTCTAAATTGTATATTTCCCAAAGGGAAGGAAATTCTTGGTTAGCAGTACACCAGAAAAGAATAGTCTAAAATGCAAACTTTCTGCCTGAGGCCATTGTGCAACATTGTGGAATCCCTAGACAACTTCACATAGCGTTTTGTGGACGTTGCTACATTTGGGCAAGAAATTTGCCTTAAAAATGCTTGGAATAATTTATGTGTTCTCTCTAGGCCTCTTGTTATCTCTGTCATCCCTAGAGGATACATGCTGCGCGTGTGTTTTCCACACTGTTATTGTCTGAGCAGTTGGCTGCACATTTGTTGACTTCTGGGTTGGTGGTGCTGCTGTGTGAAAGCTTCCTTTTGCCTCTGATCCACTGCCAGTTAATGCAGACCATGGATATTTATTTATTGCCACACTGTGAAAATGATACTGTAAGAAGCTAATTCTACTGAATTTCACCCTAAAATGTACTTTTATTGCTGTAATCGAATGCAGTTAATTGTCATAAATAAAATTTATAATAATAATAAGTTTACTTGAATTAAATGTACCACATGAAACATTTTTATACCTGATAACACATTTTTTTTAAATGCATGCAACACAGCATTTCATCATTCACCTGGTTTAATTTTAATAATAACTATTACAATTTCATAAAATTATATTATAATATATATTTTTACTTGAATTAAATCTGTTAATTTTAATACATCATTTATACCTAATAAAACATTTTTATAGTACGTGAATCCCAGCATTTCACTATTCCCTGCTTTTATAATAACAGCAATAATAATAAAAAATAAAATAAAATGGTTTTCCCCCTTGATTTAAACCCCTTAATTTGGATGTTAACACATTTTTATACCTAATAAAACATTTCAGCATTTCCCCAATTTTATTCTCCCAATAACATAATTGGGAGCTTAAAGACACTACAGTAAGAGGGGACAAAGATCTTCATGTTTTTTGGGGTCATCCTCATTGTGACACTCATCTGGGCTATGACGTTACATGCATACAGCCCCTTCAGGCTGACCTTCAACCCCACCGAAAAGCAGATTTCCTGTGGTCCTCAACCCCCTGTTATCCTGCAGGGCATTACAGGGCCGGCTTTGAGCACTCAAGGACAGCTGGGGAGAGGGGAAGACGGGGCTGGGAACATGAAAGAGGGGATTGTGACAAGCTGACATGTGGAAATTATGCAGATAAGCTGAAGACAAGGGCAGAGTTGAACAAGAGAACAGTGATGAAGGAAAAGGAGGAATGAATGAAAAACTTCCCATTCAAATATTAAAACTTTTCAGAGGGGAAAAAGGCCATTGAGATGCTTTTAGAGGAAGACTTTGATCTTTCAAGACATACACATTTTATAGGGGTGTAACGATTCACTCGTTTTCTCGATGCATCGTACAAACCCTGACGATGCAATGCATCAATCTTGAAACATGGATTTTTGAAGCGTGACAGTAATCGATTTAAAACGTTAAGAATCGAATGAATCGCGATTTCTATAGCGATTCAATGCTTTCAAAATATATACACATTAAATTACTACAAGCAGGAATTAATGGAGACCTTGAACAGAGTTCGTGCCTCGCATCTCTCCATCACGCACTCCACTATTTACCGCCTGCAGTGACTGTCACAGGATTGCGCTCGCGCTCCGTTAGTCTCACTGACACATTCTTTGAGCAGCTGATGTGTGATCTCTCCTTAGTACTCATGGCCAGTAAAGCTAAAGTGAAGTAGTTTTGCTTTTCGGTAGTTTTTCAATGGCTCTCGGTCATGCCGACGACGACATTACCTGAGCAGTCGAAGGCTGCGCATTTATTGCATGGACGGAGCAAAAAATTGAAGTGTCTAAAGCATACGCACAGTTCCATTGAATGATAAATGTGTTTTAACAATGTTGTTGAACCGAATGTAAGAAGAAAACTGTATCGAATCGATTCGCTGTCTACCCAAAGATTCACAGCCCTAATATTTTAACTTCATTCCCCAAAGCCCCACATACAGGCCTCTTTTCCCATGATTCTCTCTAGGAGTTTGTTTTTGTCCCTCATCTGACTTATGCTATTACAGATATATCCATTGTGTGTGCATCTGGCCAAAGACTTATCAAATGACTAACAGTCTTAAACCTTGAAATAAGAGCGCAAGGTTTATCTGATAATCAGATGCATATAGTGTTCGTTGCTATAGCAAACAGACATTGCACGTGTTTTGTTTCAGGATCATCATTCGCCGATGGAGAGGAAAAGTTAAATACTATAGCATTTTATTGCCAAAGACTTATCAAATGACTAACAGTCTTAATACATCTGGGCCCGTATTCACAAAACATCTTAAGGCTAAAAGTAGCTCATAACTCGCCGATTTAGGAGAAAATCTTAAAAATAATGGGCGTGTCAGTCCTAAATTTAGTACTCCGAGTATTTCACTAAGTGTTTAGCGCTAAAACTAGTTCATAAATCTGTGAAACGTTAGGAGTAGTGAAGAGGACTCCTAAGTCACTAAGACCAAATCTGAACTATCCTAAAATGGCTGTTGACAACAATCTGCAGATGCATATAGTGTTCGTTGCTATAGCAAACAGACATTGCACGTGTTTTGTTTCAGGATCATCATTCGCCGATGGAGAGGAAAAGTTAAATACTATAGCATTTTATTTTATGAAAATGAGATGATGAAGTTTTCGCACTGAAAGAGAAGTGATCTTGCGCTCATAGACGTGCCAGGCTTTATCTGCAGCTAAACTGTATAAAAAGCAGAACGGAGGTGATCCCAACTCCAAATTTTTTATTATATCCTTAATATATAGCTGTTCTCACGTCCAGTCTGGTTTTCTTTTATGTTTGCATGTCTTGCTATCAGCCATGATTATTCTACTCTGTTAATTAAAAGGCTGTTTATATGCATATTAGAGCTGCCCCCTAATAGTCGACTAACCGTTAGTCGACGAGAAGAGGCTTGGTCGACCAAAATTTAATTAGTCGCTTAGTCGCAGAAAAAAAAAACGGTGTGTATGTGGTAATATAGTACATAGGGCAGGACATATGCTCACCTAACATTCTTCGACCTCAAATATGGCTTATCATCTAAAATATGTATGTAGTAGCAACTTTACATGGCAGCTCAATTTAATGTTTTCCTAGAAAAAAGTGCGCTGTTCATGTGTTTGTGCGGAGTGTGGAAGCTGAACAGTAGCGTGCTTGGGCTACTGCAGGACAGATGGAGGCGCCGGTGCGATCATTTGCTCTTAAAATACTTCGCCATTTTTGGTCATACAGATAAGAGTAATGCATCTTTTGTATCTGTAAAGACTCTACATTTATTCGTGTGCACTCAGAATAACAACGAAACGTTGCGCTTTTGTAAAATAATGAAAGCAAACAGGATGCGCTTTCTGCCGTCTCGGTCTGTGAACTTGAGCTTGATCACTTCGAAACTCTGTGTATGCTTGCCTTATTACAGACATGAAAAATATATCTATAGAGATTGAAACTTTTAAATGAACCAATTCAAATAGAAAACAAATATTCTCAGATGTAATCCGTATGAAACATGCATAGGCCTACAGGCGCATACTGCGGAGATGACGAGTCAGTGTCGCTGACTTCATCTCTTAAACCGAAAACAGAAAGCACTAGTGTAACAATAAATTATTAAAACGTTAATGCAGTGTACTTGCTGTTTTTCCCTAACATATTCATAATTATTATATTTGCCGGTGCACTGTGGTACCTTACGGTAGCTTATTGGGCTATTAAAGGCTCATTATTATGATTTAGGTTTATTAATAAAAGTGCGACTTATAGTCGACTAATGCTTAAAATGAACGACTACTAGTCGACCAGAAAAATCTTTAGTCGAGGGCAGCCCTAATGCATATTGACTAATTGTTTACGAGAAGCATACATATAAGAGGCTGATAATTAGCTTAATTAGTGACACTTAGCCTGCATTTTAAAATCTTTGTTTGAATGTGGCAATTAACATTTTTATTTTAAAACCTTTATTTTATAATATGGCAACATAATATTGCGCTCTACAATATTTCTATGAATAAATCTCTGACAGAGACTATCAGCCAATGACTGTGTGCATAGTTAGTATGCTGACATCATCCATAGCAACAAGGTCAACCCCGCCCTTACTCTTAGCTTAAGACTTCTGTCTATTCCTTAGTAAATGTTTGTCTCAGCAGCTTTGTGAATTGGTTTTAAGAGAAAACTCTTAGCTAAAAACTTTTACTGCTATTTAGGAGAACTCTTAGTGGTAAGATAAAATATTTTGTGAATACGGGCCCAGTTTTCTTTGCTAATAATGTGTTTGGAACTTGTATTCCAACAAAGCATGTTGCATAAAGTCTTAGTATGCATTTCTAGGCCGTCTGAAGCTGACTGTTCTGTCTGAAGATCGGCTGCAGATTAAATGGAAGGAGGCGGAAGGGCCGGTGCAGGGCTATAAGGTCCGTGTGCGGCCCATCACAGGTGAGACTGCAGTTAATGGTAACTAATTAAGATTACATACAGGATGTGCATGCAGTGACATATATGTGACCCTGGACCACAAAACCAGTCATAAGGGTCCATTTTTTTTATTGAGATTTATGCATAAATAATAAATAGCTGAATAAATAAGCTTTCCATTGATGTATGGTTTGTTAGGATAGGACAATATTTGGCCGAGATACAACTATTTGAAAATCTGGAATCTGAGGGTGCAAAAAAATCTAAATACTGAGAAAATCGCCTTTAAAGTAGTCTAGATTAAGTTCTTATCAACGCTTATTGCTAATCGAAAATTAAGTTTTGATATATTTACAGTAGGAAATTTACAAAATATCTTCATGGAACATGATCTTTACTTAATATCCTGATGAATTTTGGCATAAAAGAAAAATGTATCATTTTGACCCATACAATGTTTTTTTTGGTTATTGCTACAAATATACCCCAGCGACTTGACTGGTTTTGTGGTCCAGTGTCACATATATACGGTACTATTCAAACCTTTTTTAAATGTTTTTTAAAGAAGTCTCTTATGCTCACCTAGGCTGCGTTTATTTGTCAAAATACAGTGCAAACAGTAATATTGTGAAATAATATTTACAGTTTACAATTAAAACAGATTTCAATATATTTTAAAATGTAAATTATTCTTGTGATGGCATAGCTGAATTTTCAGCATCATTACTCCAGTCTTCAGTGTCACATGATCCTTCAGAAATCATTCTAATATGCTTGATTGTCTGCTCCGGAAACATTTCTTATTATTATCAATATTTAAAACAGTTGTGCTGCTTCATATTTATGAGGAAACTGTAATGCATTTTTCAGGATTCTTTGTTAATTAAAAAGTTTTAAAGAGCATTATTTATTTAACAAATATATTTTTAACAATGTAAATCTACTTACTGTCAGTTATAATCTATTTAATACATCCTTGCAGAATAAAAGTATAAATTAAAATAAATAAATAAAATCTCACTGATTGTCATAGCATATAGCAGTCATAACTGGTCGCTCCAGGGCAGATTAAATCATCTGCTGCTCTGCGGAAACACCCAAAGTTTGTCCACTACACATAACAATAATTGGATTCCACTGAAGCACTCGATTTATTACATTTACATTTACAGAATTTGAGATTTTAAAACAAAAAATGACTGTATTTGTCAGTAAATAAATCAAATAGATAGAAAAGTTACTTATTTTTAAAAGTAACTTTAATATTATGATGTATTATATTTGAAAAATGAATAAAGATTTGCAGATTATAGCCAGACATTATCAAGGGCCTTTCTTTCTTTCTTTCTTTCTTTGTAGAACAGTACATTCTTATCCCACTGAGTAAGCATTCAGAACAGGTGAGGAATAGGAAAGCAGGATTTTTGAGCGATGATTGAATCAGGATAGTCATAAGTTGCTCATATCTCTTCTGTCTGACTTCTCATCTTGTTTTTACCACTCTCTATTTGTGTGTCCATACCTTTCAGTTGAACCCCTTCTCTTTCCCACTATTTCTCTCTCTCTGTCTTTATCTTTGTCTCTCTTATCTACTGTTCAGCCCTTGTGCTCAGGTGAGTCCAGGCAGGTCTGTTGCAGTCTTGAGAAAGTTCACACAGCAAAACAAACAGCACACATGCCCCACAGTGCTCCAGGCAGAGACAGACAGAAATAGGCATTCATGTTTCACAATAAAATCTCACACTCTGCCATCTTTTGATGATATTTAGGTTTATGTTCTGTGCAATTTCTCACTGTCCATTCTCTATGTGAAGTATATAATTCACTACTCTTATTTTCCCTCATACCTTGAAATGAAAAACCACATGCTGTGTCTCATTTCGAGGTCTGCGCCTTCAGGAGGTGGCTTTTGTCAGTCGCATGCTTTAATCAAGTCTGTCTCATTTTATAAAAGCAACCTTTATATTCCAAAATAAGAAAGAAATTACAGTAATGCATACCTCACAAGAAATAAGATGTTTGTGGACAACAAAAACCACTCCTGGAAGGCACAACTTTTGAGATGAGACCGCAACAATCACTTCACACAACAATCACATGTACATTATACTACATTTTAATTTTAATCACATAAAATGACCTAAAACTGCAGTGCACCTTAACTGAAATTTATATCTATCTATCTATATATATATATATATATATATATATAAAATGTATATAATTTAATTTATAATATTTTTGTTTCATATTATTTTTTTAAAATAGATGCACTCATAATAAATGCATTCATTTTAGGCAAAAGCAGTTCGTTTTTTTTGTTTTTCAATTTAGTCTCAAGCAGTTTTGACTGAAATGATCAGGAACAGTGTAAATAGTACAATAAACTTTTTTTTATATCAGTTCAAGGGAACTTCCCTAGCTTAACCAATGGCATATGTTTGGGATGGGACTATCTGCTTCTCCGCCCAGTGCAGAGGATTGTTTGAAAAACTTGTTTGTCTTTTTTAGGTGTTTGGTGATGTTAGTGGCATAAAGATTACAGACGCATACAGCTTAATCTAAATCACCATTTCATTCTCTTTTCTAGAGGTTCCTCAGCCAGAGCTGATGCTCACAACTACACGCGGCCGGGCCACGGTGGCAGGCCTGGACCCCAGACAGGAGTATCTCCTCCAAGTTATGGTGCTCAATGGGACGCTGGAGAAACTCATTGCAAAAAGACGCTTCACCAGTAAGACTGGAAGATAAGAGGATGTTGCTTTGTGGTTGCAAACGTGGTTAGAATTGTCGCTAGGTCATTGTTAGGTGTCCAAGTCAAAATAGCCAACCAACTACTCCTTCCTGTAACCTCTATGGAATATTTCACCTGACAGGCTAAAATTCTAAAGGCTAAAGTGTTTTTATTTAGAAAACTAATTGCAGACCTCAAGCTACACAATTTGAGCTATCATTCACATCTGTACTAAAAATGGTGGAAGTTACAGTAAGCCTTAAAATTATATTCAGGTTAGAGGATCCCTTCCCTTCTGATTTGTTGTTGGAGGTGGGGGATCTTTCCAGAGTGCTTTTTGTGCACAGGAAGCAGAAATCTGTACGTCGTAATTCCCAGCGGTCACAAGCTGTCAACACACAGTCCCAAAGTACAGAAACAATCCCTTTTAACACATTACATACTCCACACACACACACACACACACACACACACACACACAAACAGTGTTCAGGAGAGATCTGTCTGTAATTGACAGTGTCGAATGGTGGATTCCTGTTGGATTACAGGCTGGGACTGACGCTTGTGCCTTTACAGGCACAAAACACTTTTGGGATTCCCTTTAAAACACAGAAATGTCCCACCGAAACAACCTCCCTGAAAGAAACCTGATATCAAATGATGAAATACCTGACTTTCAGATTTCACTTCAGCTGTGAATGTGCTAAAATAAGAATGTAAACACCAGTGATAAAAGTATTTCGTTATGGGAGATCAGACTTTATTCCATAGTAGCCTGGTGTTGTCATTGTTAAAAGATGCAGACTATGCCAAACATCTGTGATACGTTTGGATGAGAGGTTGGGAGAGTAGGTTACTGTGTCGCCCCGTGCAGGTCTGGACAGGCCAGTCGTGTGGTTTGGCTAGAGGGCCAGGCTTGCTTGTCTGAGGAGGATTATTCCATTGTTCCCTCATAAAAGCATAAGCATCCACTCAGTTTTTCCATGTGGATCTGCTTATATGTCAGAAAGGTGTTAATAAAATGGGGCTTAAACACAGTTTATTTGACGTACCTAATGGTTTACGAAATAAATAATCAAAAATGTTATTGTTCACTCCACATCCTTTCATATTTACACACACCCATTCTCTGATTTCTTGTCAGTCGATGGGTTGCGGGAAGAAGAGTTGATCCGCAGCGGGAACAGGGAGCAGAAGAAGAAAACTCACTCCATTGGCTCTGAATCTGGAGAGGCGGATGACGTGACGGAAGCTCTAGCAGCCCTTCCCACTGTGCTCTACCAAGAACCAACGACTACAGGTAGAGGATTCGCAAACACTGTCTGCCAGTTTCCTATAAGTTAACTATATACTGTATGTACTGTATTTGTCAACACAGTCTTATCTGCAAAATAGGCTTTATGTTTTATACACTAACGTTCAAAGGTTTGGGGTCAGTAATATAAAAAAAATTAAAATGATAATAATATTTTTATTTTGCAGGGATGCATTAAATTGATTAAAAGTGACAGTGAAGACTTTTTTTTTGAAAAAAGAATTTCAAATAAATGCTATTCTTTTGAACTGTTTATTCATCAAAGAATCCTAAAAAAGTATTGTTTCCACAAAAAAATTAAGCATCACAACTGTTTTTCAACATTAATAATAATAAGAAATGTTTCTTGAGCACCAAATCAGCATATTAGAAGGATTTCTGAAATTGTAATAATATTTCACAATATTACTGTTTTTTTCTATATTATAATAAATGCAGCCTTCATGAGCATGAGGGACTTCTGTCAAAAACTAAAAAGTTATATGCCTGCTGTTGCAGTTTTGGCTCCAAGCTCCATATGTGTGAAACAGTGTTACAAAAAAATTGTTAGCAGCATAACATTTCTTAGTGACAAACCAAACATACTTTTATAGTTCCTGCCCAACCGGGTGTACAAAGCAGAGGAACTCTGTGCCGACCTTCCGTCCTGCGGTCTCTCTGTCATTATCAGTGTTTTACTGGTGGAGCTACAGATCGTTGAGCTGGCGCCAGCTCTACTATCTAACCTATTAATAAAAGTCCATTCATCCCCCAAATGCCTGTAATTAATGCAGCTGTAATGGGACAGAGGACTGGACAAGGAGGGAGAGTGTCCACCTGTGCTAAGTGTACATTTAGAACAAGGCGGGGTGTGGGAATACAGACACCATCACTTGCTATTGTCACTCAGTCTATTAATATCCAGTCTTCCAATATTCTTCAGAAACCACTTAACATGCTTAAACATAATCAACATGCTTATATTTTATTTTGCTGATAATTTAAGCTTTTGATGTCATATAACTGTTTTTTAGCAGCAGTATATAATACTTTTATTTAGCTATTTATCTTTCTACTATGCTATAGAGCCTCCTGCTGTACCTGAGCTTGAGCCAGAAGTTGACAGAAACACCAAAGAAAAGAAAAAGAAGAAAGACAAGAATCGATCTAAGGGTAAAATCGAGACTGAGGATAAAAATGATCAAGAAGAAAATGGAGGGAAGTCAGTGAGAGAAGAGGTCACCATCACCAACAAACCGAGAAAAACCACCCCAACCCAAGCTGTCACAGGTAATGCCACTCACATTTCAGATGAACTAAATTAATCAGATGGGCAAACAGTTAATGAAAAATCAATGCTCATTGTTACTGATCTCATAAATATGCAACTATAAACGTAAGACGCACATTGACTCAGTGATACAGGAACATGTTAGGGTCAGTGTTTAACAGAGTTAATGAGCTGTGTTGATGTTTCCTGTGTCTGTGTAGTGAGGGCTAATAACAGAATTAGGGACAAACCAGAGTTAATGACACGGTGTAGGTTGTTATCAGCGCCTCTTGTGTGCCCTCAGGACTGAAATGTGTTCCCTCCTTTCTCCCATCTGTAAAAAAACACACACACATAGATAGGAATGAATGCACCATTGAGAAACAGTAGATGTATTGACAAAAGGGATCTAGCAAAATCATTGCACAAATTGTTTTATATAGGAGCAAAGAGGACTGAAGAATGTTTGAAAAGACCCTTGAATACACTTCACAACAAAGTGCAAAAATGCCCAGGATAAGAGACATTAAAAGACACACTAAGTTTAAGTTCCTAGTTAAGTGCTTAGTGTTTAATGTTACCCTTTACTAAAACCACAGTGTTTGACTCTTGCCCATGTGTCTCAAGCTGTTTCCACACGAAAGCCATTTGAATGCAGTGCTGGAGCTCAGGCTGATCTGGTCCTTCTGGTGGATGGATCCTGGAGCATCGGCCGTACAAACTTCAGAAAAGTGCGTGACTTCCTGGAGGGTCTGGCTGTCCCCTTTCACATTGGGCCGCAGGGTGTTCAAATAGGTGAGATGTTATTTCATATTATCTATATACATTGTATATGTATTGCAATTTCAAAGCTGTGCATCTCAGTGTCAACACTTAATTGTACTTAATAATTTACTTAATGTAAGTTTAGTTTATACATTACTGTTCAGTTTGGCGTCAGTAAGATGTTTTTTTTTATGGTTTTCAAATAAGTATCTTGCTCACCAAGTCTGCATTTATTTGATAATAATCTGCATTTATTTGTTTATTAACTGAACTATAATTATATATTATATATTATAATTTTCATCATCATTACTCCAGTGTCTTCAGTGTCACATGATCCTTCAGAAATCATTCTAACATGCTGATTTGCTGCTCAAGAAATTATTCTTATTATTATCAGTGTTGAAAACAGTTGTGCTGCTTAATATTTTTGTGGAAATCGTAATACATTTTAAGGATATAGCCAATAGCCTTGTGGTTAGTGCGTTGAAATATAGCGCAACTGTGCTCACGGTGACCCGAGTTCGATTCCCGTCTCGGGGTCCTTTGCCGATCCCGCACCCTCCCTCCTCCCAGTGCTTTCCTGTCGTCTCTCTACAGTCCTATCTATAAAAGAAATGCATATAAAAAAACATTAAAATGATTATAAATGTCTTTACTGTCACTTTTGATTAATTTAATGCATGCTTACTGATTAAAAGTATTAATTTGTTGTTGTTTCAGCATTATCTCAGTACAGTGGAGATCCACGGACAGAGTGGCATCTTAATAACTTCACCTCTAGAGAGCCACTTCTGGAGGCCATCAGGAACTTCAGATACAAGGGAGGCAACACTTTCACAGGTAACTATAGATATTATACCCTGTATATTTCTTAATGACCTGGGATTAAAAAACTATTCTAAAAAGGAAAGTTCAGAATCTAATTCCTGATTGGAAGAGCCACATGGACAATTCAGATAAATGCACCCCTGTGAATGCATATTCTCTAATAATGTACGTTGCTTGGCAACCATAAACATGAGAATTTACCTGTAATTTATCGTTCTAAATATACCTGCCTATTTTAATTATTGGACTGATAATGATAACATTAACAAGCTACATTTACAGCCAGAACCAGTATAAACAATATGTCATGCATCCTTTAATATCTATTGAATGTTTGTTTTTTTATCATCGTCGTTTTTGTCACCATTTATAAGCAATTGTTTTTTAAACATGGTAAAGAGGGTTTTAGGCGGTCTGGATTTGCATTATATACAACAAATCTTGTCCACTGTAAAGTTACTAAATGCACAGCTTCTTGTGGCTTATTGTTCTTTGTTTTTTTTTGTTATCTAATAATCTGAATCCTATATGTGACCCTGGACCACAAAACCAGTCATAAGGGACAATTTTTCGAAATTGAGATTTATACATCATCTGAACGCTGAATAAATAAGCTTTCCATTGATATATGGTTTGTTAGGATAGGACAATATTTGGCCGAGATACAACTATTTGAAAATCTGGAATCTTGAGGGTGCAAAAACAAATTTAAATACTGAGAAAGTCGCCTTTAAAGTCGTCCAAATGAAGTTCTTCGCAATGCATATTACTAATCAAAAATTAAGTTGTGATATATTTACGGTAGGAAATTTACAAAATATCTTAATGGAATATGATCTTTACTTAATAGCCTAATGATTTTTGGCATAAAAGAAATATTGATAATGTTGACCCATACAATGTTTTTTTGACTATTGCTAAAAAATATACCCCAGCGACTTATGACTGGTTTTGTGGTCCAGGGTCACATATACATCACACATCAAGGTAGTCCAGCAGTGATTAAAGGATGTTTATATGACACCAATACGAGAGTATTGGTTCATTTTTAACATGTCTATATTTCAGGTCAGGCTCTCATACATGCTCTTGAGAACAATCTGAAGGAGGAGGTAGGGGCGCGACCCAACACCCCACAGTTCCTGCTGCTGTTGACTGATGGGAAATCTCAAGATGATGCCATTGCTGCAGCCAACAGGCTGAAGAATGCCGGCGTAGAGATCATTGCTATAGGTGAGAGCTTTATAAAGCAAATTACACATCGAGTGTAATGAATTTCAGAGATGCTTTGTGAAGATGACTGCTGTTTGATAATGAATACACTACATTTCAAAGGTTTGGGATCTGTAAGATTACAAAAGTCTTTTCTGCTCACCAAGGCTACATTTATTGGATAAAAAATAGTCAAAACAGTAATATAGTTAATATATTTAAAATAACTGTTTTCTGTTTTAGTATATTTTAAAATGTAATTTATTCCTGTGATGCAAAGCTTTTTTTCAGCACCATTACACCAGTCTTCAGTGTCACATGATTCTTCAGAAATCATTCTAATATGCTGATTTGCTGATCAAACATTTCTTATTGTTTAAAACAGTTGTGCCATGATACATTTTCTTCGGATTCTGTGATGAATAGAACAGCATTAGTTTGAAATATAATCGTTTGTGACATTATAAATGTCTTTATTGCTTTTGTTGTGTTGTCAATTTAATGTTTAATTGCTAAATAAAGTCACATGAACAGTAGTGTAAATACAGTATATGCTATTGCATATTTAAAATGACCTTTGCTATAGTTATGTGTATATATACACACAAAGTTTTATCTTTATTTCTTTCCCACTCATGTCCAGGTGTGAAAAATGCAGATGAGGCAGAGTTGAGGCAGATGGCGTCTGAACCGCTGGAGCTGAATGTGTATAACGTGAATGATTTTCCTCTGCTCAGTAAACTGGTGGGAAGACTAGCACGCATCCTCTGTGGCAAGATTGAAGACCGTATTAAAGCGAAGAGTAGGCCAATCACATACACATTGGTCTTCATTATAATGATCTAAAACTGATCTAAATTCCCACATACTCCCATTGAAACAAAATGGTATATGTCTTTTTCGAGAAGGAATGGAGCGTCCCACTCAGGACCCAGTTCTGTCCTATCCCAGCCCAACTGATCTGCAGTATGTAGGCCTAGGCTCGAGAGAAGTGCGGCTGCGTTGGAACATCCCCAGCAAAAGTCCTCAGCAGTACAGAGTGGTGTACCACACCGCTGAAGGACAGAGTTTGAAAGAGGTGAGCCAAGTGTCCAGCACTCTTTTAAGCACTAAAATGTAAAAGAAAAGTCTGCATAAGTTTCTGAAATCAAGTACTTATTTTTTTTAATAAGTATATATTACGGCCTTTAAAAAGTATGTTATATTTGTCAGTATGAATTAATTTACTACAATTGCATCGCTTCACTGCCATTCACAACTCCTCTCCTGTGACCTCATGGGATAATAATAAATAACAGAAATAATAGGTCATCCGGGGATTTTTTGCCAACTGTTTTATGAAAACTGTGAGTTCGGACATACTCTTTTTCACCCTCTGTATAGTAGGGAAGTGCACAATTTTGGATGCTGCCTAAAAGTTGGTGTCTTCCAGCCATTAGACTGGTATCCTGTAAAGATGTTAAAAGCTGGAATTGCTTGTATCAAATCACTGTGGTTTAATTGTGAGCACCAGGAATTGAAGAAATGTTGGTTTGTTGGTGCCACCTACAGGATGTTTTCTATGCTGTAGTTGTAGTTGCATTCAGAAAACTCACTTTGCTTTTATATGCATGTTGTTGATTGATTTCAGGTGGTGGTGAATGGAACAGACTCCACAGTTCTGCTGACAGGACTGTCCTCACAAACACAATACCACCTGTCCATCTTTCCTGTCTATGAGAACAATGTGGGCTCTGCTCTGAGAGGCACCTTCACCACTTGTTAGTTTCAGCACTCAAAATGCTCATTCATAACATTTCCTAATTTATAGTTAAAAATCCCAAGACCACACTGAAAATCTGGGATTCTAAACTTGGAAGCAGAAAGTTTTAGGTTTTTGCTAATTAAAAACAAACATGATGGCAAAAATGAATAAGAAATTGATACTGTTATAAATGTAAATGTAATTTTGTGCAGCTAAAGTGCTGCTGACGTTAAAGCAAAAAGGGATATTTACGTATTTTTATGCTGATAATGAAATTTGGTCTCAGAGTTTTAGACGCCACTGCATATCATAATAAATTATCTCCGCTTTAAAGTACCATTGGCTATACCTGAGGCTCTAGAGGTCACCGCTTCCTCCCCTAGCAGTCTGCGGGTGCGCTGGCAGCCGGCCACTGGAGCCACACAGTACATGGCCTTATACTCAGCACTCAATGATGGAGAGCCTGATGATGCCAAAGAGGTGAGTCTGGGACATCTCACAATGTGGCTCAGTGTTTCTAATTATGTTACAATGGTTTGATGCCATTCCCGTGCTCTTGTTTCTTGTGCCAGGTGAAGTTTGGACCAGCTCAGACGGACGTGGAGTTGGTGGATCTGATGCCATCCACAGATTATTCAGTCACACTTTATGCTCTTTTTGATGAGGACCCCAGTGACCCAATTACAGCCATCGGCGCCACCTGTAAATACAGATTCATTATAAGCACTTTCATAGAAACGTATCTATCTAGTCTTACGAGACTATTCCCACTATGCTCACACACACTTTTATCCACTTCCCAGACAGGTGTGACAATTCTTCTTATAGGGATAGGTCACACAAAATTGAACAATTCTGAAAATTTACTCAACCTCATGTCGTTCCAAACCTGTATGACTTTCTTCTGTGGAACATAAAAGACATTTTTAGAAATGTTCTCTTTGTCCATACTATGGAAGTCAGTCAAATCTGTTTGGCTAACAAAATTTTTCAAAAGTACCTTTTTTTTGTGTATAGAATGAAAGTCATACAGGTTTGCAATGACATGAGGTAAATGTTCACAGAATCTTTTTTTTCTCTTTAATAATGCCTTAAAGGGGTCATTGGATGCCCATTTTCCACAAGCTGATATGATTCTTTAGGGTCTTAATGAAAAGTCTATAACATACTTTGGTTAAAATTTCTCAATGATAGTGTAAAACAACACCCTTTTTACCCTGTCAAAAACATCTCTTTTTACAGCAAGCCATATCAGTGCATTTCCCTTTAAATGCTAATGAGCTCTGCTCACCCCGCCCCTCTCCCTCAGTGGGGTGATGTGCAGTTCTCTGAGAGACTGTAAACTTTAGCTGCATTCATCGTGAAACTTGCTAACTAGCACATTATTTGCGATTTGCAAAATTCATTAAAAAACTTATACTCACTTCTTCTGTAGGTGAAGCTGAATCACGAATGATTCGCACAAACATTTAGGTAGATTGGAGGACGCATTCCCTTCAAAAACAAACGTACTCCACTGCGTCTTCAGTGGATCAGATGTGGGTAGTAAATGATGACTGCTATGTTCATTATTACAATACATCCAACAGCAAAACACCTCAATTGCTTAGGAGACATTCTTGTCTACACCTCCGTCTTCAAAACAATGGCAGACTGATGACAGCTTACTCAGAGCGGGTCTAATCTAAAACACCAATGTCAATCAACAATCGTGGAAGGGGCCTGGACCCGTGTGACATCACACAGCCAAGAATCTGAGAACGGCTTGATTTGAAAAAGGGGATATTATTCATCTGGATTTTATCTGAAAAACCACTGGGTGGATTTTTATCATTATAGGGTGGTTGTGTACACACTGCCAACACACATTTAAGTTCAAACAGCATGTAAAAGTTAATTGTGCATCCGATGACCCCTTTAAAAGAAGAAAGGAGAGAAAAACTACACATAAACGTAATTTCTGTCACTAAGCACCATAAATTAGTCAGAAAAAAACAGATGGCTGGTTCTCATGTTTATAATAACAGCCAGTTAATTACATTAACCTCTTTGTTCCTCAAAGGTAAAAATAAAATGAATGTGAATGGTAACTGTCAACCAATATGTGGTGGTAAGACTACTGTAATAGTAACTGTTTCTGCTCTGAACACAAATGCTGAATGCTATTTTGGACATTTGTGAACCCTAAATCATTGAATTATTTTTAACCAATTCATTGACAAGAACAGTTTTATATGGGAATTCCCACCAGTAAAAGAAAATGGAGAACTGATTAATAATTCAGTAAAAAAAAAAAAAAAAAATAGCAAACAACATTTTTATTTTTCTGTCAACTCCTGACTGCAACTTCTCATACCTGCAACTCAGAAGTTTAGTCTCTTGCCATATTAAATTGTCCCACAGAAATCCCTTGATGTCTTTTGCTCATTCCCTCTGTTCTTTCTCTCATCTGTCTATTTTTTCCAGTCCCACTGCCGTCTCCTCTCAGTTTGCAGTTTCCCATGGTCAGTCACAGCACTCTGAAGGTCACGTGGGTCCCTGGAGCTGTCGATGTTCCTGCACACCGCATCATCTACAGCACCAATCACGGCAGTGATGTCAAGCAGGTGAGCAGATGCCAGAAGTCACTTGTTAGGTTTTTGATGTTGTAACGTTTATTATTATTTATTAGCTCTAAAAAGGGGA